AGTGAATTACACACTGGTTAGGCTGAATTATCTGTGAATAAACGTGCTGCTGCCTCATTTTCCACAGGTCTTTTTTGTAGCAAGATGCCTGCCTGGAAACTGTGTCCCCCTCATTAAAATTGCTCTGCTGTGTTTTTTGTCTCTGGAAAATTTTAGCCTAGTCTTGCTCTTAAAAAAATGTCCTGTTGCTGGCCAATTTTACTGTGTCAATATCTATTCAATAGTCAAAGCTGGCCATTTACTGTTTGATGAAAAAGCATGTGTTGCTGCTAAAACAACCAGGAAAAAAGCCTTTTTGTCAAGCTGAAATTAATCAAATTGGGGTGCTGATGCTCTGTGTAAGCCAACCTAAATATAAAAGCAAAAAAAAAATCAATTCTAAAGGCAAATAGGCACTGCCAGAGTACACTGTCACTGTCTGTGAAAATCACACTTTTCCATAAGACCATGGAGAGCTTAAATGTATCCCTCAAGCCTGTAATTTAATGGTTTTATTCATGTTTAATGTCTGTTTCCCATATTGCATGAAAAACCCTATTCCCCCGTATTTCATTTTTATTTATTTGCATTGGTATGTTATCCCTTGCAAAGGATGGATTTTACATCTGAGTTTGGGTTCACTGAATTTTAAGAAGGAATCATTGAATCCTCTGTGAATTTAACCTGGGTAAATTCACTTCTGCCTACTGAGCTGGCTCCAACAGTCTGTTATATAATGGATAAAGAATATGTAAACCCAATATTCCATATTCTTGATCAGGGGCGGACTGACCATTTGGAAACTCGGGCACTGCCCGAGGGCCCAGGGTCAGTAGGGGGCCCCATGAGATGCCCCTGGTACCTTTTTCATAGGCTTTTTTGAGTTTGGGCAAGGACACAGGGGCCCCATGATCCCCTATTGCCCGGGGGCCCCATGAGTTGTCAGTCCGCCCCTGATACATAGGTACTAAATTTTACTTTTACAGTAACCAGTTTTAGCCACTGAGCTTTCATCTTTAACCAGTTTAGCACAGCCAAAAGACTGAAGAGTGATTTTATTGGTTGGCACAGGTTGCTACTATTCAAAACCTAAAGTTGATACTGTGATGATACATAGTCTTAGTGATAGACTATGCATCTCTATCTAATTTGTATCATGTGAATGAGTGGGTTGATCAATGGAGCGTAGAGTTTTATATAGCTACAGCAGGTAGCAGAGAGACAGGGTTTTCTCTTCTACTTTAATTCACTGCGATCTGTGATAGGGATAATGGTGTCTCTTTGAAAAAGTAAATCAGAGACTATTGTCATAGAAGTGTGTGCCATAAGAAAGTCCCACGCCCCATCTGTATTTTGCATGTTAAAGAAGGACCACCCTTGAGTTCAGAGCAAGGGGTTTAGTTTCAGAGACAGATGACTTTCATCAATGGCGATTATAAGGGATTTACTGCATCTATGTGTGCAAAAGAAGAACTCACCTACACAACTGGCTACACAGTCCAGCAGCTAAGGGTTTTAACTCTCGAACAATATGTGGGCTGAAGTGTGAAAGCATGAGATTAGGCATCTGCTTTCTCACTTATATAATTTTTCTATAGTATGATCTGGGCCACTTCCAGTGAATATAATGGTAAAACATATCATCAGAATTGAAGTAAACTTTTGCCAAATTCTTGCAAACATTATCTATGACATACTGTATGGTTCATGCTGTACATGGCATCTTTAGTGAAAAACACTAGAAAATATGTTATACAGTCTGGCTCTGGCCCTATACACTCTACACAATTTGAAATCAGAGGCAGAATCGCCAGAATTCCAAATCACAGCAAAATACTCAACATGTATTTGTGCACCATTATTTTTAATGGCACTCCAAATGTGGTGCAATTCTGCCACAAGTGTCACATAACAAACTTGCGTGGCAAAACACACATTTAAAGATCATGCTACACTTGTCACCCAAAAAGGAGCAATACCTCGTTTTGGGTGTTTTGGGTGACAAACATGCATAGGACAGCCCATTGAAGTGAATATGCTGCCTTATGGGTGACAAGCGGAATCGCTTAAAAATCGCACAACAAGAATCGCAGGAAAAAAATGCCTATTCCCATTACGTGATATGTGAATGGGACCCTTCTTTTTTTTTATTATTATTATTTTTTTTCAGATTTTCAATTTTTCTTCTCACAATATAACAAAAGGAACACAATATACAGGATCCCGATACATAGGAACCAGGCAGAAGACAAAAACAACAAATGAATGGCAGTGGGACCTTTTATAGACCAGAGCAATTATTACATTTCAGCTGTCAATCTTTTTTCCAGTTTGACCAGTGTTAGTTTTAAAACAACTAATTCTATAATTCACCAAGTTTATAATGACATTAAAATGATGTTTCTTTCTGTTACAAAGCATGGCAATGTAAATGGGACCCTTCTTTTTTTTTTTTTAATTATTTTTATTCAGATTTTCAATTTTTCTTCTCACAATATAACAAAAGGAATACAATATACAGGATCCCGATACATAGGAACCAGGCATTACGTGATATGTGAATGGGACCCTTCTTTTTTTTTTTTTTTTAATTATTTTTATTCAGATTTTAAATTTTTCTTCTCACAATATAACAAAAGGTATACAATATACAGGATCCCGATACATAGGAACCAGGCAGAAGACAAAAACAACAAATGAATAGCAGTGGGACCCTTTTATAGACCAGAGCAATTCTTACATTTCAGCTGTCAATCTCTTTTCCAGTTTGACCAGTGTTTGTTTTTTTAAAACAACTAATTCTATAATTCACCAAGTTTATAATGACATTAAAATGATGTTTCTGTTACAAAGCACGGCAATGTAAATGGGAAGTTATTTAAAAATGAAATAAAGGCTTTTTTGCTAAATGTCACAAAAATTTAGAAGCATGTTAAAACTAAAAAAGTTTACACATTAAAGCAGTATTAACCCCAAAGCCAAACATGTACTAAATTGCAACTTTCTGATTATTAGATGTGGTGGCTCCATTCTTTTTCAGGTTTTTCTCCTTTATTTTCACCAGTCTGTTATTTTTTAACATACTTTTCTTAATTTTTAGCTTGTCATATTTGTTGTTGAATAGAACTAAGGACTATCAGGCCATCTCACTGACAAAAATCATCAACTGGAATTCAAGTGTGCAGGATAAACTATTCCTTCACCTAGAGAAAATGCTTGCTCGATGCTCAACCAAGGCAGCATAGGGAATTGGCAGAAACTGTTTCTCATTGACAACCCTGTGAGTGTGGGTTTCTTTAAACAAGAAGAGCAAACTATCACCCTTTCATCCCCTCTAATGCCTTGGGGAAAGGGGGGGGCACCCCAAGGGAGCAGTTAGCTGTCCTTTTTTAATACACTGGGAGGGGGCAGTAAGAAGACTCTGTATCAGATTTTTGGAAGGCACATGTTTGAAATCCCTATCGAAACTTCAAAATAAATTGAGTCCCTTCCTGTTACCAGTTAGTAATATGCCCAACTTTCTGACTTTGTGATAAGCATGGGGGCCATCCTTTGAAACTTTATGTGTACTGAGGGATGCCTGTACAAAAGCATTTCCTCTACTTCCTACAAGTTGGTGCTGATGCAGGAATCCCAGATTACTCCATATTCTACTAAGGAATGGGAATGGAAATTAGGTAAATAGATTGCAGAGAGCAACTACTATTACTTACCCTGGGTTCACATATATCAAGTGTGGGATGCAGTGCGATTTTTGATAGCTGGTGCAGTGCAATTTTGTTAATGTGGTGCAGGTGTGATTCCAATGCAAATTGTTAAAGTGTATCAGGCTGGAAATTGCACCTGCTCTGCACTGCAAATCGCACAGGGCCCCTTTTTAAAATTGCACTGTGGCTGGCCCGCATGTATGTAAATGGCTCCGCAGAAAAGTATTTTATTGCACCTGTCATGCGAATTGTTGCAGTCGCATGACAGTCAAAACGCATCCAAATTTTCCGTATATGTGAACCGAGGCTTAAAGTCACTAAATTAGCTCACACATCCTCCATTAACTCACAAATACAGGAATCCTCAACTTATTATTAGCAAATTGGTACAGGGTCCCAGAGATGTTGTCGAAAATATTTCCTTCTGTGTTGATAGATTGTTGGAGGAGCTATGGAAAGAGAGGCACCCTTTTAACTTGTGGGAATGCCCCCACATAAAACGTTTCTTGATAAAGCTTAAACACTTAAATAAGCAGATCACACAACAACTGCTACCTGACAATCCTCTGCCAGTTTTAATTCACATTACAAACACCACTGTAGGTAAATGTAAGAGGTCTCTGATGCCTGGGTCTTTTAACTGCCAAAAAAGCCCTTATCCCATTGATGTGGAAAACTCATAGAGTTCCCACTGCAAGAGATTGGATACTGAAGGTTCAAACAATTAGGGATGCTGAGAAAAGGAGATTCATGTGTAATTATAAATATGATATAGCCTATCAAATCTGAGTGGTGTAGATATACTTTACTTCCTCTGACACATCCTCTGATGTCAGTGGGTAGACCCTAATGGCCATGGATGGCAGAGCAGGGAATGTATTAATTACTAATGTCTTCATGGATTGGCGGCAGGTAGTGCAGGTGAGGGTGCAAGCTTGCTTTGTTACCTTTCTTTTAATTCTTTCTCCTCCATTATTTCCCTTCCCTGTTGGATAATTTCCCTTCACCCTACTTATATTTTGGGGTTATCCTATTAAACACTGTGGGAGCCCTTTTGCAAGGGACTATTGTATGTTTACATAAGGAGACATAATTTATTGGAGGACCTCTAGGAATGGGGTCTATTTCCTCCTTAAAGTGTTACTAAACCCCGGACCCTGCACTCACTATATCTGGTGACCCACAGTATACAGAACATGGAAATGCAATTATTTTAGTAAATATAAACTGTTAATTACCTTTTCTCATCAGCAGTTAGAGCGGTCTTGTGACTTCTATCAGTCAGTGTTCAGCAAAGCACTTGTTAAAGCTTGTAGGAGGAGTTTTTCATTTTGCTTTAGGAGGATGCAGGACCCCTGACCTCTGTCTGGACAGTGTTGATTGGCCCTCTGCTGATCACATGCACCCTCCCAAGACAAAAAAAAAAAACCTCTCTAGCAATACAAACCAAACTGAGCATGTGCAGAGTGTCTCCACACGATATGTCTTATCATGAGATAAGAGGGGGACACTGGAAGAAGGGGAGGATTAGAGAAGTCGGGATCAAACAGCAATTTGTACACAATGCAGAGGATTAACCCCTTAGGTTCCACAGTAAGTATACAGTAACAAGCATGCTTTACTGCATATACAGACTGATTTTACTGTTGTGGGTTTGGTAACACTTTAACATCTGTTCATAGCTTTGTTGTATATTTGTATGGAATTGTACTGTAAAATGCAAAATAAAGATTTTTGGAAAGTTAAAATCTATGACCAGGTAAAGAGAACCATTTGTCCCCTTCCTTGTTATATATAAATTAGATAAGAATTATGATTGCATTGAATTAAACAGTCTATCTATCTATCTATCTATCTATCTATCTATCTATCTATCTATCTATCTATCTATCTATCTATTTTTCTGTTTCTATTTATCTATCTATCTATCTATCTATCTATCTATCTATTTTTCTGTTTCTATTTATCTATCTATCTATCTATCTATCTATCTATCTATCTAATTTTAAACCTTTTAAAATGAGCATTTAGTGTGCTATTTTACTTTTTTTGTCATTGAAATTTTAATCCATAACTAAATGTATGTGGCTTACTATCATACTTTATGTATGCAGGGAATCTGGGACAGTGTACAAGATAAAAATAGGAGAAAGGTGTCCCCCTCAGCTGGATCCAGCAGAAATATAAAACTCTACAGAAAATAGTACTTTAACATATAACCGCAGTTAAATATTTCTAATTTCTAGATAAATTGTAGACAAGACCATTGTATGCTAAAGTTTGGACACCCTTGGTAAATTATATATTTTATTGATCTTTTTGTGCTAAAGAGATTAAACAAAATCTATGTGGAATCAAGTCAAATGTATATTTTCTTAAGGGGCTGGAAAAATTAACCATAAAATGTGGCATACACAAAGTTTGTACAAGTTTGGACACCATTTTGGTCAGTACTTAGTGGCAGCCATATCAAATAGTTTATAAATCATTGGTATATGGCAATAACTTCAACTGGTCACCAATATAAGTAAAATGCTTTTGTCCGCACTTTTTCTGTTAGTGGTTGATTTGTTTGCTACATCTAGATCAGTTGAATTGTACTTACTTGTATTTAGAAGGAAGAGCTGAAAGATGTGAGATGTTTTTCTTCCCTCATTACTAAAAAATGAAAAGAATGCAAGATGTTCTTTACTTCAAGTTAGATCCCAGCCTGTATTATTTATGGTATGGAAATATTACAAAGAACTTGAGTATACACCTGTGGCATGTTTTGCATCATATTTTACAAGATCATGCCAATCTTCAGGGGAAGGTTGAATTCAAATTAAAAAATTAAAATACATAAATTTTGTAAATTAGAAGGCTTTATGGTGTTCTCAATGGGTTACAATAATCTGAGCAAAAAAGCTTTTAGCATTTTATTTGCCTAGTGACTGCAAGCATTCATAACTTTCTTTAATCTCAGCTATCTTATCACCACCAAGCGCATATAACAGGACAGCTTTGTTTTCAATCCTTGCAGAGAATGGGCCTCTCTACTCTCTATATTTTCTTCCTGCATACAGGAGTGCCATACATGCTGTAGAAATGATTGACGTATTTAATAGAAGACCGTGGGTGTAATGGAATGTGGATGGAATCCAAGCTCGCACAACACACACTACTGATCCTAGTAGACCCCACTGTGCAGACCCAAGAGGGTCATTCACCGCAAAGCCACACTTGCGTGCAATCTGACATTATCTTTGGCCTCGGCAGTGCTGCTTTGTCTATGCAGTTAACGAAAAAGTCTTTAGAAGATGAAAAACTAATGTTTGGAGCTGAAGGACTAAACTGGGTGACCTATGTGGTGGCTAACATGCTATAATGCATTTGCTTTCTGCAAACGACTACTTTTCAAATCTTTTCCAAAACATACTACATTTTATTTTAAAAGATGCGCAGTAACCAATGGCAATAATAATTCAGCATTTAGCAATATTTTGTAGCCAGATTATTAGCACAGTAGGAAGGTCAGGCTGTCCAATTACACTCATGATCTTTAAAATATTTGTCCAAAGGGTTGGGAAAACCTGAGTAAACCAGCCATTCCAGATCACCTGGGTAGCAATAAAAGTAGTTGCATGATGACTTTGTACACATACAACATCTGACAAGCTCAACCACGAGACCAAGACAACCAAGACATTCAAGCTAAAATCTGTTGGTCTTAAAAGTGGCAAGTGTTACCTACAGTTGTGTTCAAAATAATAGCAGTCAGACATCACTAACCTGATCAATCACTGTTTTTGGTAGAAATGATATTTCTACATGGCAAATAATTTACTAGCAGGTGTAGTAGAGTAATAGAAATCCAACAGACCCCAACAGTCATGACATGCATGCTGCTGATTCTGTGTAATTGAATCACTAATGGAAAGGGGCATGTTCAAAATAATAGCAGTGTGGAGTTCTATTAGTGAGGTCATTCATTCTTTGAAAAACAGGTGGCAATTATTGCCCTTATTTAAGGAAGGAAGGCAGCAATTGTTGTTCATGCTGGTTACAGTGCAATTCTCTCTGAAATTCTGAGGAAAATGGGTCGATCCAGACATTGTTCAGAAGAACAGCGTACCTTGATTAAAAGTTGATTGGAGAGGGACAACATATAAAGAAGTGCAGAAAATGATCGGCTGCTCAGCTACAATGATCGCAAATGCTTTAAAATGGCAACCAAAACCTGAAAGACCGGGACGTGGAAGAAAGCGAAAAACTACCATTCGAATGTATAGAAGAATAGCCAAAATGGCAAGGACTCAGCCAACAATCAGCTCCAGGAAGATCAAAGAAGGTGTAAAGTTAATGGAAAAAGATAGCGCCGCGCTCCTATATAATATATACAGCTTAAGCTTAAGCTTTAAAGGTGTATTAAATTCAAATATGAACTGTGACTATACCACTAAATGCATATAAAATATTACATATAAATGACATGCATGGTGTAAAAACCTATACTATTATTGCCTTAGTGGGTGCCATAATAAAATCCTGTGTTGCACCCATATAAAGCTATGTGTACTCTATATTAATATGTGCACATGCTAAAATAAACAAATAAAAATACAGTCTTTAAGGTAAATGTGCAAGTAAAGATTCTGTTCCTTGTCTCCGAGTGCTAAATGGTCTCCTTATGTGCTCACCTCTATATTTGCCTGAATGAATCCAGGCAAATACGCTTTTTATCCTTCCAGGATAGATGAAATGGGATGATGTCTTTGCTCTAGCCGTCCTATGAGGTGAATATACATATGGATGGATCCTCCTGTTGTCTACTTTATCTCCCTGTGTACCTGTGAGTACACTGAGTAGCTCTCTTGGGATCTCCCAATTCCCCTCCTGGGGTTGTTTCCTCTTTCACTCCTCCTAATATCAGCTCATGGGATGTATGGTCAAAGAAAAGAAAAGCAGACTGAGCTGATATTAGGAGGAGTGAAAGAGGAAACAACCCCAGGAGGGGAATTGGGAGATCCCAAGAGAGCTACTCAGTGTACTCACAGGTACACAGGGAGATAAAGTAGACAACAGGAGGATCCATCCATATGTATATTCACCTCATAGGACGGCTAGAGCAAAGACATCATCCCATTTCATCTATCCTGGAAGGATAAAAAAGCGTATTTGCCTGGATTCATTCAGGCAAATATAGAGGTGAGCACATAAGGAGACCATTTAGCACTCGGAGACAAGGAACAGAATCTTTACTTGCACATTTACCTTAAAGACTGTATTTTTATTTGTTTATTTTAGCATGTGCACATATTAATATAGAGTACACATAGCTTTATATGGGTGCAACACAGGATTTTATTATGGCACCCACTAAGGCAATAATAGTATAGGTTTTTACACCATGCATGTCATTTATATGTAAATATTTTATATGCATTTAGTGGTATAGTCACAGTTCATATTTGAATTTAATACACCTTTAAAGCTTAAGCTTAAGCTGTATATATTATATAGGAGCGCGGCGCTATCTTTTTCCATCATCTATATACACTAGTCAAGTGAGTTAGTGCAAGTGCCAGCGCACCCTATACACTTTCAGAATTTATTTAACACCTTGATCCATAATAGCTCACAAGTATTCACTATAATTAAGGTGTAAAGTTACCTCTGAGTACTGTTACAATCAGAAGACGCCTATGTGAAGCCAAGCTATCTGCAAGAAGCCCCCGCAAAGTCCCACTGTTGAAAAAAAGACATGTGCTGAAGAGGGTACAATTTGCCAAAGAGCACATTGACTGGCCTAAAGAGAAATGGAGCAACATTTTGTGGACTGATGAAAGTAAGATTGTTCTTTTTGGGTCTAGTGGCCGGAGACAGTTTGTCAGATGACCCCCAAACACTGAATTCAAGCCACAGTACACTGTGAAGACAGTGAAGCATGGTTGCGCAAGCATCATGATATGGGGATGTTTCTCATACTACAGTGTTGGGCCTATTTATCACATACCAGGGATCACGGATCAGTTTGAATACATCAGAATACTTGAAGAGGTCAGGCTGCCTTATGCTGAAGAGGAAATGCCCTTGAAATGGGTGTTCCAACAAGACAACGACCCCAAAACACACCAGTAAACGTGCAACATCTTGGTTCCAGACCAACAAGATTGACGTTATGGAGTGGCCAGCCCAATCCCCGGATCTTAATCCAATAGAAAACTTGTGGGGTGACATCAAGAATGCAGTTTCTGAGGCAAAACCAAGAAATAGAGAAGAACTGTGGAATGTAGTCCAATCATCCTGGGCTGGAATACCTGTTCACAGGTGCCAGAAGTTGGTTGACTCCATGCAACACAGATGTACAGCAGTTCTCAGAAACAGTGCTTATACAACTAAATATTAATTTAGTGATTCAAAGGAAAGCAAAATCTTCAAACATTTTTCAGTTTATATAGTGACTGTTTGAGTTTGTAAAGAAGAATACAAACACTGCTATTTTTTTGAACAGTCTAATATTCACTTTTCTTCAATTTCTTTAGAGGAACAACACAAATTTGATATATTTTTCTTCATGTTTTGATTTGGAATAGAATGTGTAGTGTTCCCAATGCATTTGTGTGTATGGAAATAAAAAAGCTATTAGAAGGATTTTGAGCTTTATTCACTTTTTTTGAACACACTG